ACACACACACACACACACACACACACACACACACAGAGGGCCGGAGATTTCGCTCAGGTTCTGATGCCAGCCTTTCAAGCACAAGGGGCTGAGTTTGATCTCCCATACCAAAAAAAAAACAAAAAAAAAGTATACACATATATACTGTCTCCTAATGAAGAAATACAAATGACTTTAAAGTAATCATGCTGAGCATGGTGACACATTGCTGTAATCCCAGTACTCCGGAGGCTGAGGAAGGAGGATCGCTGTGAGTTCAAGACCAGCCTGGGCTACATACTGAGTTCCAGATCACTCTCAACTACACAGTGAGACCCTGTCTCAAAACAAATAAAAAAATAATCCTGATGTTTCGATCCCCGGTACCAAAAAAGCGAAACAAAAATAATCCTGATGTTTTATAATACAATAAAATAGCTCAGTGGGTTATATGTACTTTATAAATAAACATGCTTACATAAACGTTTATACTTTATAAATTAACATATTTATGTTGGAGATGTTATGCTCTTTAGTCGTAAATGTCCCATAACGTCTCATTGTTAAAAGGTTGGTCATGCTGCAGGGATGTAGTGCACACTCTGTGGTAAGTAGGGCATGCTCTTAAAGAGATACTGGGACTCTTAATTCTGCCCGTCTCTCCCTCTGAAACTCCCAGGAACCATGAAATAAGCCCTTTGCTCCACCATGAACTTTCTTCGCTTCGTTTGAGACAGGGTGTCTCTATGTCACTCAGGCTGGCCTTTAACTCCGTTTGTAGCCCAGGCTGGCCTCCAGCTTGCAGTGATCCTCCTGCTTCAGCCTGACCTTACAGTGCTGAGATTACAGGCGTGCGCCACTCCACCAGGAACTTTCTGCCATGCTATTCTGTCTCAACACAAGCCCTGAGCAACAGTGTGCAGGGATCATCTCCTGAAACCACGAGTGAAAATAAATCTTTCCTCCCTTCTTTGTAAGTTGATTTTTGTCCCAAATGGCTAGGATCACAGGAGTATGCAGGAATATGATGTCACGTCAACAGAAAACTGACACAGAGATGCAAACTGAAAATGTTCTTGCTACTAGGAGTTTCATCTCAAAAAGTGGAGAGAACAGCCACCGGGCCTCCTCCCAGAGTCTGGGGAAGTTTTGAGGTGAGTCTTGCTGCTGCAGGGAGAGGTAAGGGAGGGAAGGGGAATGGTGGCTCACCTCAATTTTACCCTCCTTGGCAGCCAGCTTCAAGGGAGTGAGACCCTGCAGGTTTTGAATGTTCTCGAGCTGCACAGTGGGGCAGAGGCGGGCCCCCGCCTTGAGGAGTGCATCGTACATACGGGTCACCAGTTCGCTGTTCTCTTCAGAGTTGTCAGCGATCATCACCAGGGCATGCAGAACGGTGTTGCCCAAGGAGTCAGCAGCCTGCAGGCTGGCGGGCTGGTACGGGTTCTCCAGGAGGTAGCTCACCACATCCCACTGCTTGGTGCATGCAGCCAGAGAGAGGGGCAGCTCGCCTATGGGCCAAGAGAGCAGCTTGGGTCTTGGGCATCCCAGCTTCCATCTGCCTGCTCTTCCTGCTTCTCTGACAGACGGCCAGGCCTCCGTGTGGGAGTCAGGCCTCTTTACCTCCTGGGAGTACAAAGCCAGTCCCCGCCTCATGGTCTTTGCCAGAACTCAGCCACATGGCCCCTGAAGTCAAGCTCTTCCTGACTGAATGCTTCTTTCTTCTGAGCCAGCGATGTAACCCAGGGCCTTCAGTTCCACGGGCTAAGCTTGTGCTCTACCGCTGAGCTGCACCCCACCTATCCTGGATGACATAGGTCAGTTCCACCAACCCCCAGTCATGCGCAGCCTTCTTGATCAAAGGAGGATAAAATCACCTCTTAAGACCAATTGATTTTTTAGGCAGCCTAGTAGTTACAAGATGTCTGCCAGGGCCAAGCCAACTTGGTTTGAGTGCCAACTCTGCCACACATTAACCATATGACTTTGGACAAGGTCTTTATTATGGTTTACACTTAGATCTCCCCAAAAAACCTCATTGCTCAGAGGTGGGGCTTTTGGAAGGTGACTGGATAAAGGGGATTTAGAGCCAACTTGCTGTTGGGAGGTGGGATCTGATTGAAAGAGGTGGGGCCGTGGGTGTTGCCCTGGCTTTGTCTCTTGCCCATCCTCCCTTCACATCTCCCCCAACATCTCTCTCTCTCTCTCTCTCTCTCTCTCTCTCTCTTTCTCTTTCTCTCTCTGCCTCCACTACCATGGTAGGAGCTATTTCTCCCTCTACAAACTGAACCAAAATAAGCTTTTCCTCCTTTACACTGTGGGTGTCAGGGATTGTGTCTCTGCAAGGAGAAGCTAAAACAGTCTTATCTACCCCTACCTACCTGCACCTCTGTGTGTGCATCAAGAGCTCACTCACCAAAATAGAAGCAAGTTCCTTGCCTCTTCTGGAAGAAATGGCCACAAGCCCGGGCGTGCACGTTGGCCCCATTCTCCACCAACAGCTTCACGCACTGCAGGTTCCTCTTCTCAATGGCAATGTGCAAAGCACTGTGACCTCGGTAATACTCATCTGTGCACTGGGCGTTGACCAGAGGCCAGGGATTGCCAGAGTCTCGGTCGATCTGCAGCAGTGGAAGGATGCAGGCGTTGACCCCGTTCTGAAGGTTCAGCACAGCCTTCATCAGGCACGTTTTGCCGGTGGAGCCCTCTGTGGGAAAAGGGAGGACAAGGGACACTGCAGTGCTCGCACCCAGAGCGGCTGGGCTACCCGTCAGCTGGTACAGTAAGCCCAGGCCCCAGGACCCCTGGGGAGTATTCAGAAAGCTTGCTGCTGCATGGGACTGCTGGGAGCACAGCCACATTGCAGGTAAGTAAGCTCTAGCAACACTACACAAATACAACACGTACAACTACAATTCCTGAAACAAACTTTCTAAGACAGAAATCATCACTCATGAACTTCATGGTATAAGAGCAACGGAGGCAATGT